CGAAGAAGCAGCGAAGGGAAGTTGGTTGAATGATACGGAGGGTGCTTGGTCATTGACGTTTATTCTTTGCTCTGAACTACGAATTTCTGCCGTGATTAAAAATTTAGGTATGTATTTAATAATTTTTAAAGGGTATGAAGCTACATAGATAGTTAATACTTTTCACTGATAACTTTATATATTATTTAATCTTGTGAGACATGCAAGTGTTTCGATGGGGGCTGTACGTAAATTATGCTTCTGGCCATACATTATAAGACCAAATTATTATGCTAACTCTTGTTGAATATGGAGCACATCTTTTTTATTATAATATCATAAATTTATTGCGTTTTGTAATTTGTTATCCAAAAGCTATAGTGCAGTGTAAGAAATCTTCGCAAAACAATGGTGATCGAAATTTTAGCTTATTCAAACAAACGGGAGGTCACTTTGAATGTTCATGTAATTTCAGTTCGAAATCTCACACGTCTCGTGCATGCGGCCTTCGAAACAGCAATGCCTAATGTTCAGGTGGGAAAGTATAAAATTTTGGTTTCGAAGGCGTTTTTACGCTTATTCACTTTATTTGTCGACCCTTTTTATCGAGGGGAATCCTTTTTCCAACATGATGTGTTGTGGGTATGTGAAGTTGGAACTGGGTTATTTAGACTCTTTTTTCGGGATGATTATTTGGCTGTTTGTAACAAGTTCTCCTTTTATGTCGCTTGACTCTTTCGGTGCACATGCCCTTGGCACAAGCTCTGAGGTCTGACTGCCGTTGTTAGCCCTCTTTGCCAATAGAGACTCAAACCAACGCCTCGCATGATCGGACTTCATGTGGGAGCATTAAGCGGTTCATTTGTTTAGAACTATACTTCTCAGCTAGTCATCATGTGATCTTTTGACGTTGATTCTATATTAACCATGTGGTCATCCTTCTTCCAGTTTGATGAAAACATTACAGACTTGTGCCCCGAGACTAGACTGAATTTGTGTCGATTCCTTCAAAACGCACCAATCAAAAATATGCTCTTAAAGGACGGTCGCCGTATCACTGATGCAACGGTTTGGAGGGACTTAAACAAAGAATTAATCCTTCCTACCATGAGTGATGATAACGCGTAAGTTGTCATTTGCCGTTCTAATTACCTCACGTTCTGCCATTAGTCGAACATATTCCCTAATCCAAGCCTACTTGAAAAGTGGGGATGATTCAGTTAGAAAATTCCTGGCCTCTGAGTGTGATTCTAATGAAGTGATCGGCGATGGTACGATTAATCTTTCTCGAGCAGTAGCTAATAACTCCGTCGCAACCGTCGAACTCCTTCTTCAACGTGGCGTAGGTCTAACTTTGGTCGATTTTCGTCTACGCTGCTTATTCCTTCTTTTAGGCCGATCCTAATGTTGACGAAGAAAAGTCTGAGTCAACCCCCCTCATTGAAGCCGCAAAGGAAGGCTTTGAACAGGTGATGGAGGTTCTGCTCAAATACAGAGCCTCGGTTGCACAAACTACCGCCGCAGGTTACACAGCCCTTCATTACGCAGCCGCAAATGGTCATTTAAATTGTGTGAAACTCCTTCTAAGGCATGGAAGTCCGCTAGAAGAGCAAAATGAGAATGGCCATACTCCCCTGATGGAAGCTACTAGCAATGGACACATTGATGTTGCTCGATGTTTGATTGAACACGGTGTCAATATTAACACGCATTCGACGGAATTCAAGGAATCTGCCCTCACTCTCGCCAGTTACAAGGTGTGTCTAAAGCCCTTTATTGGTGCACACCATTTGTTAACTATTTGAGTCGTTTACTCGTTCGGGTGTTGGCGTTTTTAGTGTTGAGCGTTTTTTTGGTGTTGATTTGGACGCTCATTATTGCGATGGATTCTGGCAATAGCGTGTTACTCACATAAACACTGGGTGTGTCGATATTTGTTGCATTCACAGCATTCGACAACAGAATGTGTAATTCTCGAAGAATGTACATATGAAGTAGTAAATTTTAACGTCAATGGGATTTGAGAAGCTGCTGTGGATACACATAGGTGCCATTTACTATTTTTATGCTTGACTCGGCTGTAGGTTATTCTACTCCCTACAGCACTTTCGTAAGCGTTGCCTATATCTCTCTCCCGCTAAATAGGGCCATGCAGAAATGGTGAAATTCCTCTTGGACGCTGGAGCCTCACATGAACATCGGACTGACGAGATGCACACAGCCCTCATGGAAGCAGCCATGGAAGGTCATGTTGAGGTAGCCAGACTGTTGCTTGACCACGGAGCTAATGTGAACATTCCACAAGATAGTTTTGAGTCGCCACTAACCTTGGCAGCCTGTGGAGGTCACACGGAGCTTGTTCATCTCCTCATCGGCTACGAAGCAGATATTGAGGAGGTCAATGACGAAGGTTACACGCCTCTCATGGAAGCTGCTAGGGAGGGTCACGAGGACACCGTCGCTATTCTTCTGGCCGCCGGTTAGTGTTTGTTTTTTTTTTGCAGCAAATCACATGGATACTGGCACGCCCATCACCTGATGCGTCCGCTCGTGTAATCTCGGGTTGACCTCTGCAATTTCTGTGTGTTTGTGTGTATGCTCGCTTGCGTGCTTACATTTGTTCAGCATCTTGTCTGTTGAATTCACGCGTCACTCACAGCCAATCATTCCATCGATTGATTGAGATTAAATTCCAGGTGTTTGTCGATTTTTTCTATGCCTACTTTTGAAGAACCCTTATAATTTCTTCGCACAAACTTACTGTGTAATCCAATGGGTGGAGTCCACAACCAGTAACTTGTGTGATTCAAAATACATACACCAATTCGCTACAATAGAAACACGTGCATGCGGTATCCACAATTTTTTTGCTTTTGATACGTTCCGTTTGAATTAAATAAGTGATATTGCAACTCAAAATTTGATTATCTTGCCTTTGTAGGAGCTGATGTCAATGCGAAGACTGAAGAGACTCAGGAGACGGCTCTGACGCTTGCAGCATGTGGAGGTTTCGTGGAAATCTGTGAAATGCTATTGAAGGCCGGAGCAGATATTGAAGTTGGTAGCAATGGTTGCTCCACAGCTCTTATGGAGGCAGCCCAAGAAGGTCACCTGGAGTTGGTGCGGCGTCTGTTGCATCAGGGAGCCAACCTTCACGCGATGACAACTTCTGGCGACACAGCCCTTCACTATGCGGCTGAGAACGGCCACTTGAAAGTTTGCAAGGAGTTGATTAATTGGGGTGCTGGTCCCAACCAACCTGTTGCCATTGAGGGGGCCAAAACGCCTCTTATGAAGGCAGCACGCGCTGGGCACCTAGATGTTGTCCAACTTTTGGTTGAATGTGGTTTTCCAGTAAACCAGACTACCACTCAGAATGACGCCACTGCTCTTTCTCTTGCCTGCAACGGAGGTCATGCACAGGTGGTTGAATACCTCCTTCGAAACGGTGCGGATCCTACCCACGAACTGCGTGATGGCTGTACAATGGTCATCGAATGCGCACGATCCGGTTCGCCAACGGTAGCTAGACTCATCATCGATTACCCTCATAGTCTCACTATGGCCCTCACCGCACCTCCTGCTCCTACGTCCCAATCCCTCCACCAGCCTCCTCCGCCTCCACCAATACAGCAGCCACTCCAGCAACTCCAGAATGGTGCTGCGACTGGCATTCCACTAGAAGCTGCCACTGCAGTAATGCATCAACATGCAGCCGCTGCAGCAGCTGTTGCTATGCATCAACAACAGCATAGAGCTGGGATGCAGGCCCTTCCTGCACCCAACCCCCAATTAAAGGAGGCACTGGCAAACGCCTATGCTGCAGGATGGGCGGATGGAGCTGCTTCAAGGACTCAGCAGCAGGCTGCCTCCCTTCAGGCCTGTGGAGATGCTCACGTCTGTCCAGCGTTGGAGAAAGCTCAGGAGAAGTTGCATATCAAAGTGGGAGACAAAGTCACCACATCGAAGGCACCAACAGGGGAGGAGGCTGCTGTCGATAGTCTCGCAGATTTACCACACATCCCTTGTACTGATGAATTCAGCTCTAGGCTAATGGCGCTCTTTCATGAATGGAAGGGTGACAGCACTGAATTCTTGCACCGTCTAGGAAGCGTTATGGCCTGCCCAGTTAACAACGCTGGTGCTGTTCGTGCACCTGGTAATAGTAGTGGTGCCATCAACCGTGGAAGTTCTGGAGTTTCAGAGGCGTCAGCAGTATCTGCTGGGGGTTTCACGAATCAACAGCGCCTCATGAAGTGCGTTGGTGGTGGAGACCTCATGGATGTCTTTGCTGCCCCACCACCACCTCCGCCGACGAACACGTCGTCCCCAACAACTACAACAGCTTTCACCTCCACCACTACCTCTTGCTCGTCTTCAACATCTTCCTCAGGTGCTGTGATCGGATGTGGTATCGCATCTACTAGGAGTTCAGGAAGCACTTCCAGTAGCAGTGGTAGCAGTAGTAGTATTATCAGTTCAAGCACTCAGCTCATCGATGTTCATTCGGTCATAGCTCCACCAACAGCCGGCGTCTACTATCAGCAGCAAGGGGGGATGTGCCCTCTGGAAGTCGCACGACGCCAGCAACCGCCTGGAGCGGTTGCTACCGCTCCTCCACCGCCTTCAACTTCATCCAAATCAACTCCAGGAGCTATCGACTCAGCTCTCTACGATCAATTAATGAGCTGCACCGCTGGAGCTGCCACTGTTGGCACGCAGCCCTCGCCACCGCCGCCGCCGCCTCCTCCACCACCACCACCTCCCCCAACTGCTACTTTACCCACTAATACAGCATCTACACCACAAGTGGACATCAATGCTTGCACTGAATCATCTAACGAGTCTGCCCTAACCTTAGCTTGTAGCGGAGGCTTCGTGGATCTGGCCCGCCTTCTTTTGGAACGGGGAGCTGACAAGGAGCATCGAGATAAAAAATCACATACACCTCTTCACACCGCTGTGTACTCTAACCAGCGTGCTATTGTAACTCTGCTCCTGGACTACGGCGTGGATATTGAAGCTCAGGTGGACAGGACTAAGGATACGGCTCTGTCGATCGCTTGCTCCCATGGTCGTTTGGATGTATGCCAATTCTTTTTAAGCTTTTTGAAATTTTCTAGCGGTATTTCATGACTTTCTTTTCTCCAGATTGCTGAGGATTTATTGAATCGGGGAGCGAATAAAGAGCACCGAAACTTTTCTGATTACACACCGCTTAGCCTGGCGGCGTCTGGTGGCTTCGTCGATGTAATCCAATTACTGCTGCGTCATGGTGCTGAAATAAACTCACGAACGGGTTCCAAATTGGGCATCTCACCGTTAATGTTGGCCTCAATGAATGGTTATACGGAGGCAGTGCGGGTTCTTCTGGAGCACGGCTCCGACATCAATGCTCAGATTGAGACAAATCGCAACACTGCGCTCACCTTGGCCTGTTTCCAGGGTCAGCATGAGGTTGTAAAATTGCTGGTGGAGCGCAACGCCAACATTGAGCATCGCGCTAAAACGGGGCTGACTCCTCTCATGGAAGCAGCTTCAGGTAACCACGTAAAGGTTGGCTGCATTCTCCTGGAGCATGGAGCCGACGTAAACTCTCTCCCAGTGCTCAGTTCTAGAGATACTGCCTTGACAATCGCAGCCGACAAAGGAAAAACTGAGTTTGTCGAGCTGTTACTAAAGCAGTAAGTCGAGTTTGCGTTAAAGTACGTTTACTTAAATATATGAGTAATCATTATTTTGACTTTCAGTGGGGCCATAGTGGAGGCGCGGAACAAAAAGGGTGCTACTTCCCTGTGGCTTGCTTGCAATGGTAAGTTATCGCGACTGTGAAGCAGATTTCTCGTCCCTTTCCTTCTTCTGCTCATGTAGTTTTGCTTTAGGAGGCCATTTGGAGGTTGTGGAACGACTGATAGCCGCTAAAGCAGACGTAAACAGCCAAGATAACCGTAAGGTCAGCTGTCTCATGGCAGCGTTCCGCAAAGGCCATGTGAAGGTCGTCAGCCTGCTGGTACAACACGTTACCCAATTCCCCTCCGATAAGGACTGCCAACGTCACATCAAAGTCGTTGCACATGATAAGGTGATAAATCGTATTTACGACATCGAAAATTGTCTGCTTGTTTGGCGACCTTTCGCCTTGATGGATTCCCACTCTTATCAAATCTGGCTATTGATGCAGTATAGTCTTGACCTACCCAGGCTATTATCTGAATTTCATTACAATTACACATCTTTCCATTTATCTCGCCTTCTCAACCATTTGCAGAATTTATTGGCATTTCCAATCTTCGTGGCGCCCTTTAACACCAGTTACCAGCACGAAGATTGGCTTTAGGTCACTTACGCGTACTCCGAATTTGCTTCAACTTCACTGCTTTTTCATATCATAGTTGAGGTCTGATGAAAATTGCTAGATTGTTGTAAAGAAACTTAGTGGCTTTAAAGGCTCAATAAAGTTCTTTTCACTACCCCTTCGTCGGACTATTTGTAAAGTCAAGAGTCGCCATCCACTGCGCTCTGACTGTATCTCACCTGTGTTTGGTTGAATTTGTCTTCATTTTACGGTGGCAGCTTCAATGGAATGGCTATTCAGTCACCTAAATAAATGTTATCCGCTGTACCGGCTAATTTCATGCATTGAATTCGCTTTTTCTGGTGTGATATGAGTATCCACGTGTTGGAATAATTTGCAAAAATAGATTGTAATTGCCATCTGCTGACTGGGCTGCACGCTCGCGTGCATGGCCGCATATTTTGTTCAGCTCGAACCAATGAGGCGATTCAATCTCTCCTCCGTGTGCGCCAGTAATTTCTCAATTTAACCACTCCTCCGCCTTTTATTGGTCAGCGGAAGCGCACGTGATAGCGGTGTCACTTGTCGAGTTTGCGTTGTGCACCAACCAGGTGCATTAGTCACTTCTCGCGGCGCACCAATTACAACGTCAGTCTTGCAAGCTCCGTTTTCACTGGCTGGCAGGCGCGTGCGTGTGTGATAGGAATAGTGGATACTGGGCTGCGTTGACTGTCTACGTCATACGCCGAGCGGTAACGGCTGTAGCATACTTCAGGTGACCGTACTTAGGGTGCAAAGAAGAAATCCTCGTTTTGGAGGTCGCAGAAGTTTCGATGATCAATTTTTTGCGCCTCAACTCTCGCTTCTCCTGCATTCTTCACCAACACTACTGTCGTTACTTTCGTCAAAATACCGCATTTCAACCCACCAGGGAACGAGGAGAGAACGCGAAATTGTTGGATTTTTATTATCCCCTCCATGCTTCTTGCGTCATGCTTACTCATCGGCTTTCTGCTGCTACGGCTAAGAAACCCCCGTCCGAGTTACTTTACCCTCTTTCCTCGAAACTCGACCATCTCGGTCTCTTTCCTCAGACGTCAATGGCAGTAACAACGTCGCAGACGAATGGTGCTGGTGATAACGGTTGTTTAGATCCGAATGTAGGAGTGTTTTTCGGCATTGAGGCTGTTCCCGTTACTTCCGTTTCACCGCCCCTTGTTAGGGCGTCTTTTCTACTCAGGGATACTATGAATGCCAATTTAGATGTAAGTAATCGAATTTGAAGGCTACTTAGTGTGATGAGTTCGCGCATTTGAGTGTATGATGTTACCCAGAAACCTGCTCTAAATTTTATGCATTTGGCGTTTTGGTAGCTACAATACGGAAGCTAAGTTCATGAAATTTGTTTTACGTCTCGAAACAGCAATTAGGTTTTTTTATTTGCTTGAGCATTGACTGGCGTCTTTTTTTGATTTCTATAATCGAAGCCCTTGACTTGCTCTTCCACTTCTTCCTGTAGTT